GATGGATTGCAGCCTGTAAAGACTGCTGTATCCCGCCAATGTCTCCTGTAAGACATAGACAGCTTTCTTTGCCTGTGCGGCAATTGCATGAAAAGTTACAGAATTTGCCACAGGTTGGAATTATACACTTGGCACTTCAAAATGACTCAGTTGGCTCAATACTGAGGTTATAATCCACTATTGCTGCTTGGACTTATTTTTACGTGGATTTCATATGTGTTCCAAGTTCTGACTAACTGAGTGATTAATTTCTATAGTTGGCAGAATGATGTTTTTGTGGTTGCTGAACCTGGAGAACTTGCAGATAGATTTCTTCAAAGTGTTAAAATCAGCATGTTATCGTTGATGCAAAGTCGGCGCAGGAAGATTGCTTCACCTTTTTCTACTATATCAAATATTTCTGATTTGGTGCGCGCTAGACCTTACTTCCAGGTTGGAAACATTGTCCATCGTTATATGGGTCGCCAAACCCAAGTAAGCATGCTGCATTCTATGCTGTTATGATTTTCAAGTGGGTGATTTTTTTTTAGTAGTGACTCTTTCGCTAATCTAATAATTTATGGCTCTATTGGTGATGTTTTTTGGAGGTTATGGAAGATGACCAAGAAATTGGGGCCTATATGTTCCGTAGGACTGTTCCTTCCACACACATGACGCCTGAAGATGTTCGCTGGATGGTATGCTTTCGGCTTTCTTATCATTTGCTTGTTTTTTAGCCCTTTGCTCCTACAAAACTCTATATAGAGAAATATTTTATGGTTGCCAGCTATCTGTTTAAAACATTTGTGATACCAATAGCAACTGCATTCTCTATTTTAGATTATGTGATGATAACTTCATATCCTGTTTAACCTTAGGTTGGAGCTTGGAGGGACAGGATAATAATCTGCACTGGCACATTTGGGCCTACTGCAACTTTAATCAAGGCACTTTTAGACAGTGGTGCCAAAGCTGTAATATGTCCTACAGCGGAGCCACAAGAAATCCCTTTGACAACATCCCTTGGACCACATGAATATGATATGGAAAATGGGAGGTTCGAGATTGGAGAGGAAGAGGCAGAAGAGGAACTTACTGAACCGTGTAGTCCAGTTAGTGACTGGGAGGATAGTGACCCAGAGAAGAATGTGAACCATTCAACTGGGTTTTGGGATGATGATGAAGAAGAACTGTCACGGTTTGTCTGCCAGTTGTATGATTTATTATTCCAGCAAGGTGCAAGAATAGATATTGCTCTGCAAAATGTTCTTGCCTCTCATAGGAAGCTTAGATATACATGCCATCTTCCCAGTATAGCTTGTTGATTAATTATTATACAAAATGAAACATCATTACCGAAAAAAAAGAAAAAAAAAAAAGAGAGAAGAAAAAACAAACAAATAGAGAAACAGAGAAGAAAGAAAAACAACGAATGACATAGATGTGGGTGGTAATAATTACAAACATTAGAGGGAACAATAACCAATTTTGAGGCTTATAGAAAAGAAGGAAAATATGTTATCTGTAATTAGTTGCATGAATATCAGTGTAATTGTTCTTTCTTTTGGGGAAATAAATTTGGACATTTCTCGAAGCTCTCTTCTATGAAAACGCTACATGTTTGACAAATTACTTGCAGTGGTTGCTTTTGAATTATCATCACCGTTGAGTTTTGACAAAATTCTTCTGATAATAGATGGCTACATTCCCCCAGATTGTAATAGAATTTCGTATTTGTTGATATCTAAGATGTATTGTATTAGATTTTTTTTCATCTGTTACTCTGTGCTAAAGGGCGCATAGTTCAGGAACTCACACTCTTTTAGGAGAGAGGTAAGAATAATAACCTTCTTCTATCTAAGAGATGATTTGTGTTATGTTAGATTAATTGCTAGTGAGTAGTGAGCTCCTGAACTGGAACAGCCAACTGTAAAGGAGGATTTTCCCTTATGGTATCTGAGTCTTGTAGATCCTGCAGCTGATGAAACCAATTCTAGTATCACATTTCCCAAAACTGGTTGTTTGGTTTTGTCTCTTGGCTTCAATTTTCATTAGCTTCTTCTGATGCTTATTTCTTGTGGGTCAGTAAAAGCACTACTGTCAGCAACTTTAGTTATGTGGACCGATATCGATTGAAGTCATAGGTAAGCGCCTATTCACTTATTAACTTCTAAAAACAGCAAAAGCAAAACTTTTGGCTGTCATCATTGCCTTTGCATTGGTTTCTAAGTCAAGTCTACAAACAAAAGAAACTTTGGGTTGAGACAAGGAAAATAATGGCAGATGTTGCAATTCAAAATATATGATTTGGCATTAAATGAGTTATTAGTTCTCTGTTATCTTACTTGTTTCAAGTTTTTTAAATTTGATTTGCCTGGTCTTGAATTCTTCTAAAAAACTATGTATCTTTAGATTTGCTCTAAAAAGCGAAAGTGGCGAAAAAGATGCAATTAAAAACTTTAGTTCCTTGTTTAAAACATGAATAAAAATTATAAAATTACAGATGATTAATTATTTATCATAAATAAAGGTGATGAAGAGAATGATTCTTGTCACTAACAGTGAGTGAGGCTTTTTAATCAATTGAATGTGCATAAAACTAGTCTTGGTTCAAATTAGCGACAAGACTTGACCCCATCTGCCTAACAATCAACAAAAAGCACCCTAAATAAAAACCCTGTCTTTTATTTTCTCTATCAAAGGCTTGATGCAAGGAAAATGATTAAAACCCAATAAGCAATTCAATCAAATTTGTCATCTGATTAATCTCTAATACTTTTTTTCTTTAATCAAATTGTAACAAGTATCAAGTTTCCAAATGGGTATTCATGAAAAGATGTATTCATGTTCTCATTGCCACACTGAGATGATTATGATGACAGTCAGGGCTCAAGTTATATAAAATCTCATGCCATCCACTTTACTGAAAAGCAAATAAGATGAAAGCTATATAAAAATCCAAAGAGATGCTCCAAATTCAAAGCAATCCTTTCTTTTTGATAAATGCATTATAAGCCTCATTCTTCAAAATTTAGATAAGAAGAAATAAAAAATAAGATAGGTCCACCACTTTCTTCATCCACAAGCGTCATACATCACTTTAAACCCATCACCCTGAACTTTCTTATAAATGCATTATAAACCAAGCAACAAAAACACCCAGGCTCCATGAGAGGAACAAGATGACTACAACTGCTCCAGTCGCGATAGGCACCCGGGGAACAGTAGGATCGCTGGTGAGAAAGGAGATCGATTACTTCACTAAATTCGAGCTGACCCGACATGGAAGTTCCAGGAAAGCTCAGGCACGGATTGTTGACATGGCCTCCTGCAGTAGCAGCCATGTAAGGCCTAGTTTTTGGTTCTTGGTAACAAGCTGGAAAAAGAAGAAGCGAAGAGGCTGCAATGGGTTTTTACCGAGTATCTGCTCTGCTATAGAAGTTACAGACAGCAGTGGGATCAACGCGATTCCTGGTTTTAATTACAGAATTCTTAAGAGTGATGAAAATAATTCGAACATGTAAATAAGTTGTTTGGATGACATATATACAGATATAGTACCCTTTTGACTCTTTTATCTGTTTTTCAAGTTCCTCTTGTATAATTTATTTTGATTCCACAAGATTGAATACTAGCAAATGTACAAACTTTCTTTAGTTCATCATCTGCTGCTAGCTGACGAGGTTATCCTGTTCGATCTGAGACAGGAAAACAACAGCTTTAGATTCATTTCATTCATTAGATTCTTGTTTGATCTGAGGCTATCCTGTTTTACATGGAAAATTTTCTTAAGCAGATTCAGATCTTTTTCTTGACTTCACAAAGATAAATATTAGCATAAACCAAGATATACTCGTTTATGATCAATAGATTCAGGCATTCACTATAGACCAGCAAATTGAAGTATTCATAAACCTGGTTTTACTAACAGAACTTTTGGCAGATTCTACATTTGCTGTTCATTCAGTTACACTTACAATCAAGTGTATTTTACAGGCAGATATACTTTATTAGCATTTATCAACACCATGAACAACTTAACTGTCATTCAAGAACTTATACAACGAGCTTCTATATATATATATATATATATATGTCTGTGTCTAAATTAATAGAACAACTCTCAGTCAATCCGATTTTGTAGTGGAAGTCTGCCACACTCAGTCCACGGCCTAGCACTAATCCAACTCCATCATTCGCAGGTTCGACATACCTTTTTATTGCTCATTGGAACTTTTATCTTCACACTTTGGCCTGGCTAGGAACTCAAGAGCTGTGACAACATCACCAATCAAAGGTCTGGTGCTTGCTTCCTCCTGCAGACACATTGCTGCAACTGCAAGAGCTTGGTATAGTCCCTTTAGAGGGTAATCCCCTGCAAGTAATGGATCAGCTATTAAGGTGAATTTGTTTCTGTCCTTCAACAATGGCTCTGCCTGCAAAATGCCGAAACTGCGTCAAACATGAACTAATAGAGAACCATGGTGAATTTTTATAAAAAAAATAGTTTTGAACACGTTTTTTCAAAAACTTAGGTCTATAGAAAATGACCAAATTTCACGAGTAATCCCGTTATGCTGAAAGCGTGAATTAAGCACTGGACTGCCCTATCTTGAGCTCAAATTGATTAACGAATACAGTAAAGTAGCTACAATTTAAACAAGAGAGTCAA